TTTTGCGTCGTTTTCCTAAGTCTTTTCTGCTGGATGTTGGGGTAATACATAAATGGGTACAGCCGCTTCCTCTCCAGTTTTTTGCCTCCAATCCCGAACTACACCGTGATGAAATATAACGAACCTTCATTGCCATCACATTTTCCTCGACAGAAATTTTGGCAGACTTCCTAGAAAAAGGAGAAAGATGGGAAGTAAAAATGCAAGAAAGAGAGAAACCGAAAGAATGAAAATGAACAGAAGAAAGACAAGAAAGTCTACCAAATCTACGAACAGGGTACGTCATAATTTGTGTTGGCAACTTACGGAAGGAAAGCCCCTCGTAAATATGTCTGCATTTCCCACCGGTTTATAAATGCTGAAGTACAGGTACAATAGGCCATCGTTATACTGATCCACGTTTCAACACCAACGCGGATGTGCCGCGGCTATGATCATATCTCCCAGTAGGTTTACACGTGTTTCATGTAGCAAAAATTTCTTTGAAATATTTCAATTACGATATACACGTAATACTGTATAGGGAGTCGGCAGAACTTATTCAAGCAGGAGGCGAAATATTACGTTCTAAGATCCACAATCTAATTACTTCTATTTGGCATAAAGAAAAATTGCCTGATTAGTGAAAGGAGTCTATTATTGTACCAGTTCACAAGAAGGGTGATAAAACTGACTGTAGTAATTATCGGGGGATATGACTGCTATCAACTTCATATAAAATTTTGTCCAATATTCTTCTTCTTTCAAGGTTAAGTCCATATATAGATGAAATTATTGGGGATCATCAGTGTGGGTTTCGACGTAACAGATCAACTACTGATCAGAATTTTTGCATTCGTCAGATATTGGAGAAAAAATGGGAGTACGATGAGACAGTACATCAGCTATTCATAGACTTCGAGAAAGCCCGTGATTCAGTTAGGAGAGAAGTATTGTACAATATTCTGATAGAGTTTGGGATACCAATGAAACTAGTTAGGTTGATTAAAATGTGTTTAAACGAAACGTACAGTAAAGTCCGTGTACGTAAATATTTGTCTGATAAATTTCCTATCCAGAATGGTCTAAAACAAGGAAATGCTTTATCGCCACTCCTTTTCAACTTTGCTTTAGAATATGCCGTTAGGAAGGTCCAGGGCAATCAGGTGGGACTGAAATTAAACGGGACACATCAGCTGTTGGCATATGCCGATAATTTGAATCTACTGGGTGATAATGTAGATACCATAAAGAAAAACACACAAGCTTTAATTGACGCAAGTAAAGAGGTTGGTCTAGAAGTAAACACAGAGAAAACTAAGTATATGTTTCTGTCTCGTCACCAAAATTCAGGGCAAAATCATGACATAAAGATAAGAAACAGATGTTTTGAAAATGTGACACAGTTCCGATATTTGGGAACAACGATAGCAGACCGAAATCTGATTCAGGAGGAAATTAAGAGGAGATTGAACTCGGGTAATGCTTGCTACCATTCACTCCAGAACCTTCTGTCTTCTCGTCTGCTGTCTAAAAACATAAAAATTTGAATATACAAAACTATAATTTTGCCTGTGGTTCTGTATGGGTGTGAACCTTGGTCTCTAACATTAAGGGAGGAACATAGACTGAGGGTGTTTGAGAACAGGGTGTTGATGAGAGTATTTGAACCGAAGAGAAATGAAATGACAGGAGATTAGAGAAAACTGCACAATGAGGAGCTTCATAACTTGTACTCTTCTCCAAGTATAATTAGAATGATCAAGTCAAGGAGGATGAGGTGGGCAGGGTATGTAGCACAAATGGGGGGGACGAGGAATGCGTATAGGATATTTGTGGGAAAGCCAGAAGGAAAGCGACCACTGGGAAGACCAAGGCGTAGGTGGGTGGACAATATTAAAATGGATCTTAGAGAGATAGGATGGCTCAGGATAGGGACCAGTGGAGGGCTCTTGTGAACACGGTAATGAACCTCCAGGCTCCATCAAATGCTGGGAAATCCTTGAGTAGCTGCAGAATTGGCGGCTCCTCCAGAAGGGCTCATCTCCATGAGTAAGTAAGGAAGTAAGTACAGGGAGTCGGGATAGCTCAGTCGATACAGCGACAGGCTACGGACAGGAAAGCCGGGATTTGATTCCTGAGAGGGGCAAGTTTTTTCTGTTCTCCACAGCGTCCAGACCGGCTCTGGTGCCCACCCAGCCTACTATGCAATGGGTCTCGGGGCCTCCATCCCTGGGGGTAAGGCGATCTGGGCGTGAAGCTAACGACTCACTTCCATCTAATACCGAGGTCAAGAATGCTGGAGCTACACTTGCACTCTCCCATATGTCTTCTTGGCATTCTGCTTAATTAATTAGGCACAGGGACAACTTTTTTATATTAGACTACATACGTGCATAGCGACATTCCTTGCAGAGGTGTTAAGGTGCAGAGGGCAAAGTACACAGTCCGTTATAAAGAGACTGTACGTTTCTGGTTTATCTAACCTTTGGATTGTTTTGTGCAAACAGAAAAATTTAAAGAGCACCCCTCCCCTTCCCCTTTATCTGCTGCACCTTTGTCTGAAATGTACCTTAAATTTCATATGCGTATTTTGGTCACTGCATAAATTCTGTGTACATTATAACAGGGGATCCAAAATTAGATATACGTCAGTTTCATTTACAGTGCTGTAGCTTATAACGTGGGTACTGAAACTGTGCCCCGTCTCTCGCTTTATATCAAGGACCCACTTTATGTTGAATCTATTAGTTTTCTAATGCTGAACAACTCTCTACGTCTCTAAGCGATGATCACGCAACCTCGTTCCTAGATGGAATTTAGCATATGCGGTAAACAGCGATTGTTACTCTTCAACTTCCACACAAGTTCATGTTTTATTTAATGTCAAGGACGGCGCAAACCTAACTGACGCCCTAGGAAATGGGAAAGTCCGCCCTCCCCCTTCATTTAAAAGCATATTAGCTTTCTCTGTACTTCGTCACAATTAATAAAATGAAATTTCCAGACACTCTGACAAGTGGTGATAACATGGGGGGGGGGGAAGATAAGCAGAAATTGTTTTCCTTTTA